CATGTTGACCTTTGAGTTTCCAAATTGGCCAAAGGAGTAATTTGCAAGGATACCTTGATGGAAGGCTCTAAGATTAAAATAAGAAAATTATTTATACATTTACTGTATTTTTGGTAGCACTTTAATAGCAGTTATAAAATTTAAGCCTTTGTGCCAATTCTGTGGACTATTTATAGTTAGTTATGGACAAGGACACTCAGGACAGAGAACTTTGACCTGTCTACAGCCCTTAAACCTTTCACACCAGGGAGGATAAGAGAGGAAGGGTAATATCTATTGGGCAACTATTATGGGCTAGGTTTTAAATTCATAATTGAATTTGAATTGCCACACAAGCCAATGGGGGTGTTTCTTTTAAAATTCCCATTTTGTAGATGGTTAATCCAAGGCTGCACAGTTAGTTGGGACTAAATGGAAGATTTGATCTTAGCTCTTCTCTCTTTAGACAGCTTCCAACATTGTTTGATTATGTTTTCCTCTAGGTAAACTTTTCTGACCATGTATATCCAGTATATGTGTTTCATTGTATACAAATTACACTCATGTGCTATTGTACTGCTCATCTATGGATATTATCATACATATGTGGAAGCTGGAAACATAAAGATAAACATTAAGATATGAAAGAATAGACAACCCACTGTGTTTATTCTGCCTCTTATTTATATGTTTGAGGAGTGCTGTGGGAGAGATGAGAGAGAAAGGAAAAGAAAAAGGGAGGGAGGGAAAGAGGAAAAGCAGGAGAGAGGGAGGGGGTGAGAGAGAGAGGGAAAGAGAGAGAGAAGAGAGAGAGAAAGAGAGAGAGAGAGAGAGAAATCTTCCATTCACTGGTTTGTTATCCAAATGGCTAGAATAGCTGGCACTGGGTAAATGGGACCAGGCACCAGGAGTTTCATCTGCGTTTGCAAAGTGAGTGACAGGGGCCCAAGTACTAAGGCCATCTACTACTTTTTCAGGTGCATTGGCAGGTAATTGGATTAGAAGTGGAGCAGTTGGTACTCCAACCTGGTGCTTATACAGGAAGCTGGGATCACAGGCAGTGACAGCCCATTGTGCCACCATGACGACCCTTCTTCCTCCATTTTTTAAGACTATAATTTAGGCTCTATTCACTTCTTGGCAAGTTAGAAAGATACACTGAGCAGCACAGGAGAAGGTTTCTTGGCCAAGGCACTTTTGACATTTGAAGCCAGATAATTCTTCACTGAGAAGAATTGTGCTATATGTTGTAGTATGGTTAGTGACTCCTCTGGCCTCTATCCACTCCATACTCACGGCACGTCTTCCACGATTCTGGCAATCAAACATACCTCCAGATTGGGTCATGTGTTCCCTGTGATAAGGGAAGGACTGCTTCTAGTTGAGAGTCACTGCTTTAAAGTAGCCAATAGGAGTCTCTTCCTTTTTGCTTATGCCCAAGTAGGCACCAGGCAGGCACATTGCGAAATATTCCCTCTGGCCCATTGTAGGTTAATCCAGAGGGTCCTAGATCTGAACTCCAACCTGTATCTCCCAGTTCCCAAGACTGGCCAGCCGAAACAAAAGCCCAGTTGTTCAGTGATGATATCAGTTTTTGGATGGCTCCTGTCCCCACATGGAGTACATCTAATTTTAACATCTGCACTTCATTGCCAGTGGACTTCAACAAGGATCAGTGTGGAAGACTGCTGTGGTCCAGAATGTATTGTAGGCACGGGGAGGGTCAAGAGCCTGCACTGTGAGATCTAGTAGACCTATGCTCACACCTTTATTTTGCCATTATTTTTGATGACCTTGGGCAAGTCCCTCATCTGTACTAAGCCTCTTTCCTCTTCCACACATCAGTGACAAGACACGTAAGGATGACAAGACTCGTATCACTGCATTGCAGCTTTGAGCACTGGGGCTGTTTCTAGTTTTTGGTAAACAGAAGTAGTTATTGTTCTGATGATGAGGCTGAGTTAAGACAGATTCTTCCTGACACAGGATAAGCACTCAGTCAATTACATTGGTTATCGCTATACACAATGTACATATGTATGCTTTTGAGTTTGGGGAGTTTGATAATGGATTCCATGAAGTAGGGACCATATCTGGCTTATTTGTTCCTCAATCCTCCACCACTACATCAGCGTGACATGTGTTATGTGGTCAGCTGCTATAAGCTGAGTCTCTGAAGGCATGTATTCCTCCTAGTAAGTCCTCCAAGAACAGTGATCATTGGATGTTGTGGTCCCTTTTATGATGATTTGTCATGGTCCTGGGTGGGTAAGTCCAGGGTGCACAGGAGAACTGTGGCTGTATAACTAATGTGGACAAATCTGCTCATCTCTGTCTGGTATAAAGGGAAGGGGAGCCGCTCCAACTTTTCTTTCTTATCACTTCAAGTTCAAGGAGAAGGATTTCTTTGTAATTTTATTGAGTCAGGGGAAATGCAGAAACTTAATCATTGGGATAGTCTAATTGTTCCCTTGGATTTGCTTTGCTGTCATGGTATTTTCCTGAATGCTATTTCATAATGCAACTTTGCTTATCTGGTTTCTAGGTTTGATTTATTCTTCCTTTTCTCCGGCTAGTTTTAGAAAAATTAGAACTCTTTTGTGGCTTTACATAAAAAGATAACTTATGAGGTTGAGGAAATTTTTTTTATTGAAAATTCATCAAAAATCATCAATAAATCAGGCATAACAATGCTTGATAAATTCAGGAGAGAATTGATTGCAGCAGCAGTCACTGATTTAAACTAATGCCTGCTTGCGTCATTACTCAAACAAACATAGCAGCAACATCCCTTCTAATTTCTGTCTTGTTTAAAAATGAGCGAGTTTCTTTCAGGCAAATGACTGTTGATGATCTCCATCTTTGCATTCCAAAGGGAAAAAATTTCCACCATTTTCTGACTCTTTCATGTTGTTACATGTTTTTCAAATTTTCAGCACCTCAAACCTATAATTTTCAGAGTATGCTTTTTAAAAGTGGAATTAGCACTTTGGGCTTGTTGTTGTGTTTGCATGGCACTGGGAGTGTGTGAGAGAGGTGTATGTGTACATAAGGCTGTATGTAGTTTTTGTCATTTAACCTAAATGAGCTATGCAACTGGAATGTTCCTTTTGTTCACGAAGCATGCATTCAATCAGCATATTGCTTCTCAACTTCATTGAGTAACCTCTCTTTAGGTATTAATGGGACGAGTGAATAGGAGCTTCCATTTTGCCTTGTCTGCTATCACTCAATGACTGATTTTATGTTAAATTATATGTAATTGCCTAGCCACATCAAAATATTAAAAAAACTGAGGGCAAGACTAGTCCCATTATTCCCACTGTGTCTAGGCAAAGGCATTGTGAATCAAAAGGAGTAAACAACTGAGAGATGGAAGGTTTCATCTTTCTTTTTTCTGTTAGAAAAATAGGTGAAAAAATAGAAAAATAAAAAATGCAAAGAAAAAATTTTAAAAAGTTACAGAAAGTGCTGCCATTAATTGCAAACTGCTGCTGGTGTTTTAAACATGGCCTTTTCTGGTTTTTATTTATTTAGTTAGTTAGTTTTATAGATAGGTTCAATAAAAGAGATTATATTGTAGATAGGTTTTTGTGTACAGGTTTTTCTCTTGTGTAATTAAAAGTCATGCTTTTATATTTTGCAAATGTATACTGATTTAATATCTTCATCAATGTAGAACCCATGACTGGCTAAACCACTCCACTATTAACAGAAATTCAAATTATTTTCATTTTTTGCAATGCGAGATGCAGACTCCTTATTTTGGGTGAGAATACTCCGGCCCAGATACTTTTTCTAGGTTTTGCATTTAAATCATTTGCCTACAATTGCTTCTGTGGCATGCTAACTTAGATTCTCCTAAGCAAAATGGCCATTTGGCCTTATGTCCTTTTCATTAAAATTTCCATTCTTTAGCATGGGGCTGATTTCAGGCATAAGAGACTCAAATGACTTACTGCCATTTATTATCAGCTATTTTAAAAACAGATTTATTTAATGGAAAGGCAGATACACAGAAAGAAGGAGAAATAGAGAAAAGATCTTCTGTCTGCTGGTTCACTCTCCAAGTCACTGCAAGGGTTGGAGTCAAAGTAATCCAAAGCTAGGAGCCAGGAGCTTCTTCCAGGGCCCCCACATGAGTGCAGGGTCCAAAGGCTTTGGGCCATCCTCTGATGCTTTCCCAGGCCACAAGCAGGGAGCCAGAAAGGAAATGAAGCAGCTGGGATAAAAACTGGTGCCCATGTGGGATCTGGCGCATGCAAGGTGAGGATTTAGCCATTGAGCCATCACAGTGGGTCTTTCATCTTCAACTCTTAACCTTGGTGTGAAGATACTATTGTGCTTGACCCAAGGAATGAGGACAGGTTGAATCAGCCAAGAGAGGGATTTTGGCTGGATTTGCTCTTACCTTTTAGAGCTGAGTTATAATAATTCAAGGTTTGCTTCCCTTCAAATTTACCTCTAGTCTTAAATTATTGAAAATTTCTTATCTCTAGCCTTATCATTTCTTTAACAAATTTCTTTATGTCATAAAAAGTGTGTGATTTACTGACTACAGTCATATACTTTCCATGTGAGTGTGCAGCAGAATTAATCTCAAACTTCCTGCCTCCAACTTTAGATTTTTGCACATGGGAATTGCATTAGAGCCAGATATACACTGTCTACTCATCATGTTCCAGTGAAGAAAAATGGCTGTTGCTTTCATTCAGTTTGAAGTGATAGGGTCAAGCTATGTGAACATTTGCCAGGCCATAGTGTTGAGGTCAAGATTTTCATGATCTCACATGTATATTATTCTAATGATAGATATGATCTTTCATTTATTTAACTAAGTATCTTTCTGTATGGGAATACTTTGAATTTCATGGAGAAAACAGAATTTAAATAGTAAGCTTATATTTTGTTCAAAAGGTTTTCAAGTCTATCCATGGTATTTTTGTTTTGTTTTTCATAATGCAATTTTTCCACAAATGTCTTGAAGAGTTTCATAGACCGAAGGGCTCTCCGTTGGCTGGGCTGTTGTAGTTTCCCCATTAGTGCTGCAGTTGGTTATGTTCCTGCATCTTGTCCTGACTCTCTTTTTTGTGTTGGTAATCACCAGTAGGCTGGCCTGAAAAGCAGTTTTCATTCATTTAAAAAGTACATGTTGAGTTCTTACTGAGATCCAAGGGACTGCAAAGATGAGTAAAATAATCTAATATGGGATGTTAGTGTGGGCAGTGCTCCGAGATTAATGCCATTAGAAGCAGGTGGGTTTACCGTATCAAAAACTAAGAGGAAATCTTGCTTTTTGCTTCATTGAGCTTTCCTGATGTTAATATGGTCTTGAACTCATGTGCACTAAGTATGTGCTTGTCTGGTCTTATGTCTCTATAGGATGGGTCAGATAAAAAAATCTGTAATAGAAAGATTGTGAATAAAATGTGATGGCATTACAAAAAAAGGATAATGCATTATTCACAGCTCTCCTGCCAACTCTTATTCTCTGCTTTCATCTTACAGGATGATCAGGTCTACAGGAATATGGGTAAGGATAATTTCCAGGAAAACTATTTAGAAGATTTATCCTTTTCCTTTCTTCTCCTGCCCTCTCCTCCTGTTCCCTTTCCCTGTCTTCCTTCATTTCATTCTTTCATTTACTATATGATTTATTCAACAAATTCTTATTGATCAGCTTCAGTGAACTAGACTGGAGATACAGTGATGAGAAATATAGACAAGACTCTTACCTTCAAAGAGCTTCTGTTCCAGGGGGCTGGCCCGTTGGCACCAATTAAAGGAACAAGTCACAAAGTTCCAATGCGGTCATTTCAGTGGCAATAAAAGGCCGTGTTGCTGTTTTAGCAGAAAAGCTCCTTTGGACTTCTTGTAAGTCCTTTAACTCTTTGCTGGCCCAGTGTGAATTTTATTAACATCATGCTGCGTTCATAGTAGGCCCTCATTAAGTACTTGTTGATTACTTGGCGAATTCTGCAAGTTTCCTCAGAGATATTGAGGTTTTCCTTTAAGATTCGGTTTTCTACATCTTTGACTTTTATCTCATGCTCAAGCAGAGGCTCTGCAGGAGTTGTCTTAATGGTGGTTTTAGTTCTTTATCTGTAATAAGCAAATTCCTTAAACATTTATTTCTAGAGGTTATGCTCTACTCCAGCAAGTTCATTTCATGGTAAAAACGAACTACATTTTGTTCAGATGACTACTTCAGAGCACTGGCAGGCATGGAGTCCAGCTCAAGTAACTCGGAATGTAGACCACTTGCAGTAACTTCTCTGGCACATTCATTTTCTTTCAAAGAACCCAGTGCACTTCTTGTTTCATCTCGTTGGTCTTCAGGTACCCAGCAGAATTTTGTCGTAGGAGTCCATCATTGCCTTTCCTTATGTGAATTTGCAGGTGAATCTATGGGGTTTATAATCCAAGACACTTTATGTTTTTGTCTTTTAAATGTGAACTCATAAATACATCTTTGCTTTCTTTACATTGTTTATTTTCCTTTCTCTTATCTGTCTTTCTCTCTTTTTGTTTTTCTTCACATTCTTTGAGTAGTTTGTTATTTAGGTACTTGCAGTAGATTTCAAGTTTTGCCCATTCTCAGAGTAAAGCAGCAGTGGGTGGGGATTGCTCAGTAACTTCCCATCAGGAAGTCTTCCTGTTTCCCAGCATTCCCACCTTCCTGTTTCTGGACAACAGGTTGAATTTTAAAAGCCAAGCCTTGTCAAATTACCAAAGGTTCATTTTTTAGAGCTGATTCTGTGATTGTGACTCCCAGTCACTCTTGTAAGTCCCATCTGGGGCCACACACCTTTCTATAAAAAGAGCTTCCTCTGCCAAATGGTCATCACCCTCTCCACCTCTCTGCCGCTGACTCGGCCTCTTCAAAGGTCTCAGGCGCTGTGGACTCTAAAGCTTGTTTATCTGGCAAAGGGCTTCAGAAGGTGGATTGAATCCCACTGTCAGTGACTGTTCTGACACGGGGCCAGGTAGATAAGGGCAGTTCATGCTGGCAGGGAATGTCCCCGCTTCGACCCACTTGAGAGAAGCAAGAAAAGGGGCACCTGGCAGGTATCTTGTTGGGAGGGGCTGGGCAGGACGGTAAACAGACTGACTCTTTGCTCTAGTCTGTCTTCTTGGCCCCCAGAGGACAAATAAAAGAAGAAGTGACTTACATGGATAATTTTCCAACATTTCTGTTCATTATATAAACGGGTTCATGTTGTTGGTGGCATTGAATGATTTCCATTGGTCTACTGCATAAAAGGTGCTGCCTGTTAGCTTTTACTCGAATGTACCTAAACTCTTCTTCTTATGGCTAATCCCAGTAAGAATACTAAATGTAGAAATACTCCAAGTTCATGAGTGTCTTGTGTACTTTGCATGTCCATGGCTCTGTTACAGGGTCAGTGGGACCCAGATAAAAATATTTGACAATGCTATTCTTTCTCACTTGTGGTTTGAATCATGCTGGGGCCCAAGATGCAGACGTGTGAGGTGTCTAGAAAACAGTGCTTAGCTCTAGTATCGAGTTTCTCAGTAAGCAATCTTGCACCATTGTTTGAGATCACAATAAAATTAAAAACCTACATTTTGTCTATCAAATGAGAATACTTAAAAATGATGACATATCCAAACTGTAAAATATTCTGCATCCATTACAAAGTATGCAATAAACAGAACCATAGGCAAGGATGTTGAAAAATTGCACAGACTACTTAATAACAAAGGTAATCTTACCTTTACTCTCATTCCTATTAAAATAGATAAAATACTTGTGGGTATCGACAAGTGCATTGAACAAAGATTTATATAATTTTTATATGTGTACTTTTTGTTCTTTTTCACAAGGAGAATGCATTTGTGTATTCTGCACAGAATATAAAGACTGAATAAGGAAGATGGTGTTAGATTATGCAGGGTTGGTGCAAAAGGGAGGAATTGGGAGACGGGCGAAGCCTGCTTCCTCTTGACTGTAGATGTTGTGTCACAATCTTATTTGAGCAAAAGAGCAGACACTGGGTGGTAGGTGCTACGTCTCAGGCCTCGGACTAGCTGCAATAATCAATACGACTTTAAAAATGGCTGACTCTGCTGGTGAGCAGCACCCAGGTAGCGGGAATCTGCCATTTGTCTTCATTTTCTCTTTCCTTCCAAAGTGTTTGTGTTAATGGGGGTGAGTGTTGGCAGTGTAAATTTGGCACTATGTCCTTAGGAAAGTTATAACATGACTGGTTAAGGTTCTTTTCTATAGTTACCTTCTTACACCTCGACAGTTGCTGAGATATGAAAGAGCTGAACATGGCTCCAATTTTATTTTACACTGATACCGGCCACATAGCAATAAAAATAAGGTATGTTAGCAGTGATTTCGTTTTATGGCATATCATTTCTGTATACTTAAGGTCTCAGGAGTGATTTGAATGCTTATGTTCTTCCTGGACAGATTATATACTCATTGAAGTAAGGAATCTTATGTTTTCCTGCTCATGGATACCCCTTAGTTATTTTTTTTTTTAAGATTTTACTTACTTTTATTGGAAAGTCAGATATGCAGAGAGGAGGAGAGACAAGGAGGAAGACCTTCCATCCTCTGATTCACTCCTCACGTAGCCACAGTGGCTAGAGCTGCACCAATCCGAAGCTAGGAGCACAGCACTCCCTCAGGGTCTCACACATGGGAACAGGGTGCTAAGGCTTTGGGTCATTTTCAATTGCTTTTCCAGGCTACAAGCAGGGAGCTGAATGGGAAGTGGGGCCGCTGGGATTAGAACCAGTGTCCATGTGGTATCCCAGTGTATAAGCAAGAACTTTAACTGATAGGCTACCATGCTAGGCCCACTCTTATACTTATATAGAATTACTTTTTTTTTGTTTATTTAATGTAACAGGTACCTTATACAGGCTTGTTGATAGAACAAATGGTTGGATTAATGAATCCAGTAAATTGTTCATGATACTGTTTTCGTAAGAGGTATATAGAAAACAGATTCAAATCCTATAAGTAAATTTCATGAAATGAAATCCTGAAAATATGTCCTTTTTTCCAGAAAAATTCCTTGGGCCGGTTTCAAAAAGTATAAAACATTTCTGAACAGTGAGAAAAGCACAGTGAATAATATAATAAATGCACATGCCTAAGAACCACCCATGTGTCCAATATCCATATTTAATAAATGCTAACATTTTGTCATGTTTACATCTTTTTTTTTGCATAAGAAATCAAACATAACAGCTACATTCAAGCTTGATTTTTCTGCTTTCCTATTCCCGTTCCCTCCCTCATCTCCTGGGGGTAACTGCTACTCTCTAGGAAGTAGTAATGTTTTTATACTTTATGTAAGAATGTACTGTATTATCCAGTCTAGAGTCTTGTCAGCTTTCACGTTTACATAATGATTTTATTCTGTGTAGACTCCCTCCTTGACTCCTTGACTAGCATTCTCTTCTACTTTTTAAGGTGTATTTATTTATTTGAAAGGCAGGGAGAGAGAGAGAGAGAGGAGAGAGAGAATCTAACCCACTAATTGCCATCCCCAAATAGCCGGAATGCCAGGAGCTGGGCCAGACCCAAGCCAGGAACTTCTGGGTTTCCTATGGGGGGGGGGGCAGGCACCTAGCTTGTTTCCCACTGCTTTCACAGGTGCACTACCAAGGAGCTGGATTGAAAGTAGATGTGAACTTGCTGTTTCGGGTGGCAGCTTAACCCACTGTACTGCAATGCGGATAGGCACATTCATTTTAACTGCCCTGTGATATTCCTTGATTCTTTTCTCTATTGGCAGAAGCCTGTTCATTTGTTGACAGACACCTAGGTCCTTGTGCCCGAGTGTTTTACCATCATTTGCAGTGTCACCACCTCCTCATGAGTGTTTCCTCTGCTTGTGACAGTTCCTGCTGGGTACATATCTAGAAATGAAATGGGCCAACTGTGTGGAACTCACATTTTCGACTTTCCCAGAAGTTGGGAGAATCATCTTCTGCAAAGGCCGTGCTAGCGGTGCTCCCAGCCAGCAGGGCCCCGGAACGCCTGCTGCAGGCTTCTCACCGACACTTGGAACTTTTCACTTTGCATTTTACTAGTTGCACTTTATTCCTTGCTGCCAGTGACCATGTTACAAAGTCCAGCTCCTCCCATTAAGCCTTCTGCCCCAGATTTGTGGGATGCCAGTCACTGTGCTATTTTTGCTAAAACCTTTCCCTTTTTCTGGAATGCATTTCTTGCCTTGCGTGGCAAGCTTCTGTTCAGTCTCCAAGCCCCCATGAGTGTTCCATGTGGAATTTTATCTGATTCAGCCAATCATTTATTGTTCCCCGAGTTTGTCCTTACTATCTTCTGCCTAAATCTCATTTGTTGTCCTGTCATTTTGTATTATATTCCATGGCTGTTTCCATCACCAAATTGTGAGACTCTGCAGGGTAAGAGTCATATAAACCTTGTTTACTTGTGACACCTTTGCATTTGGCTTGGGCTGAGATCAGTAAATGTGTGTTACATAAACATACAGGTAAATGCATTAATTAACCAATCACATGACATCTGCCAAGCACTGTTGTAGGTATTGAGGATGTTGAAGAGGAACAACTTGCTCTTTGTTCTAATTTGGCTTGAATACACACTGTGGTTGGGAGTGCCGACAGAAAGGCAACACACAAGTGAACTGACAGGTTGGTGTGTATACGCTGTCATGGGATGGTAAAGGAAGTTGGAGGGAAATGGTAGTGCTGTTGATCCCGTCTTGTACCATATTACTTCAGTTGTCTTTTTTAAAAATACGGATTTACTTATTTTTGGAGATAGATTTATGGAGAGAAGGAGATATATAGAGAAAGATCTTTCATCTGCTGGTTCATTCCTCAAATGGTTGCAGTGGCTGTGGCAAACTAATCTGTAAGCCAGTAGCCAGGAACATCTTCCAGGTCTCTTACAGGAATTCGGGGTCCTGAAGCTTTGGGTCATCCTCCACTTCTTTGCCAGGCCTTAAGCAGGGACTGGATGGGAGGTGGAGAAGCTCGGACATGGACCGATGTTCAGGGGGATTCTGGCACTTACAAGGGTTTAGCCATTGAGCCACCATACCAAGACTCTTCAGTTGCCTTTTGACTTCAGCTTCAGAAGTCCCTTATGCACAGCAAGGCATTACCTCTGCTACTTCTTGCCTTGCTGCTTTCTCCAGGGCCACGGAACTGGCTAGTCTTGAGAAGTTAATTTATAAGTGCACAAAAGTCATTGTGTTGGCTTTCTGCTCTAGCAGGATGAGTCCCAGCTGTTCACGGCAATCAATTGCTCAGTCTTTCATCTATCCTTGACTTTGTCTCCCA